TCGCCGATGTGCACGGAGCACCTGGTTTGGAAACTGCAGTCTTTTATAAATTAAATCTGATCAATTTAATAAAGAAATCAAAAGTTAGCAAGTCAGTTTATGTTCAAAAATCTATGATGTGTTTCTGTGCACAAGTTGGGAATTGTAAATGTTATCCAGACAGCACAGCAGGAGATTARCCTTCGATGTTTAAACAGTACATAGAGAGGCCCACTCTTTAGTTTGAGGCTATCTTGGCTCAGCGGGTGGAGTAGCTGTCTTCCAACCACAGGTTTTCTGTTTGATCCCAAAACTCCTCACGCCAAGTGTCTTTAGGGAAGAAGCTGCCATGTTTCTCAATGCGTGTTTATTGTAAAAAAAAGAAAAAAATGTTTTGTATCCACAGAGCACAGATTAGTTTACAGGAAGATTTGATTGTAGTTGTGAAGAAAAATCTAGACATTTATAACAAGAAAATATGTTTGATATTTGGCTTCTTGAGCACAAAAGTTTGACAAATCAAGACACTTTCTTTTTTTCCCCCTAAACTCAAACTGAACTGCTCGTTAGGAAACTTCCTAAAGTTTTTGAAGTCACACTGCAAAAAAAGTGAAACAGCTTCCAATTAGATCAGAACAGCTGTCAACAATGAACATGTGACATAAAGTCCATTCAAGAAATCTCAAGCCTTCATTCTTTTTACTACAATGCATAAAACTTTACTGGTTGRACTTACAATCTACATTGGGGAAAAGGCACAGCGAGAATTTTTTTTTTAAACTTTGAGAAAAAAAACAAAGAGAAATTAGATTTGGGCCACTTGGGCTGATCAAAAACATCCCGCCTTCACCATCATAATATTAAATGGACCATCTTTATATGCCCATCAAGTAAATATTGCTGTAATGTAATTATAGTAAAGCAGTTATTTGTGAACCATAAATCTCTGCTACAATAAAATTTTCCATGAATTAGCTCATAAAAAGCGGACACAGGACAGAATCACCCCGTATAGTAAACCATATTCTTAACCGATGCATCAAGCTGTGAACTACAGTTAGCGGTTTCTGTCCTCATGTCCTCATGCACTCCTCTGCACCTCAGCATCTGATCCAGTCAAGGCGCCAGAATCAACCGCTGACTGCTCTGGGTCAGGCAAAAGGACATGAGCAAGAAAACTTGATTCTTTGGTGCTACAAATGGATCAAACGCTTGATTTTTACACCCTTTTTCCAAACCTGACTTGTCTTTGTTTTTGTTTTTTTTTAAATAAACTTAACAATTGTGTCTTTATAACAAAGGGACACATTGCGTTTTATTTCTTTATTTTTAATAACATCACTTTTATTATTTTATTATGCATTTCTATCTTTATGACTATTTTCTTTAATCGGTTTTTCTTTCTGGTAGGTGCTGGTGCCTATTTTCAGRAGCCACCCAGAAGCTGGGTGTTAGTGATGTGTGGAACACTGAAATTTTAACATCACTGTTACCGTAACTTGTTCTAACATCAAAATATTGATATTTTAATTGGGATAATGTATATCATTAACGGGAACAAAGTGGAAACTATTGAAATCTTGTTGAAATCATAAGTAGTGGGTGGGAACTACTTTTTCTTCCGCCTGGGTAACGGGTAAGCACAGCAGCACACTCAGACCGTTGACATTATATGTTCAGTATTTTCATGATAATATAATCATGTAAAGTAATATGTAAATTTAAATTTTTATGGTAGTTGTTGATAAGCAACATTTTATAGAAATACTTTTAATATTTTACTTCATTTTTCCATTGCTTAAAACCTCATTTTCACATGTTTTGTATGATTGTGTCATCCGTTTTTTTTTTTTTGGTTTTTTTTGCTATATTGGCTCGGCTATATTTGAGGTTGCAATACCTCTGAGTTAAATACACTACTTTTTTATTTATCAGACACATTAGGTGTATTTGCACAAAGTATTTGTATCGGATCAGCATCACCAATACCAGCTGGAGCTTTACTTCATATCAGGATCGGAAAGGAAATCAGTGGTACCAAGCATCACTACTGGGTGTACCGTAAGGGGTTGGGTGGGGAGTTCAAAGTCCACCACATGTCCACATACAAACAAACAAAACACACAATCATTTACACTCTTACTCACATCTTTGGGCAATTTAGAGTTACCAATTAACCTGTGTTTTTAGCCTGTAAACATACAGTTTTAAATGAGAAATTAAAAATATCAAAAACACCTCAAAACTTCACACTACACCTCTTTTTTAATTTCTTCTAGATGGCCTGGGACATCCAGCCCAGTGTTACAAATTGTGCAGTCTATTCAGTAATTTCCAGCACAGAAACGAAACGAACTACAAAGCATCTGGCAGATGCATGCCCAGGAGCAGTACAGCTATTCCCCATTTTCACCTATAGTGTTGAGAATACTGTGAACCACTCTGAATATAAATCCAACCTGTGCTTCCAGAATCAATAATGTTGGAGGATAACAAGGTAGCATTCGAAGCAGAAACTTGACCTCTGCAGCTAAACTAATGTTGGTGCGTCGTCCAATCCTCGTGGGGATAATAAAAGTCTGTATTARAAGGACAGATGATGCAAAACAACTTATCAGACCAGGAAAATCCATTCTCACTCCTCCAATTTTGCAAAAAATCCTTTTCGCAGTTGCCAACACATTTTCACTAGCTTGTCATCACAAACTGAAGTCTGGCCTGGATAACTTTGAAGGAAATAGTAACCCACACATACTCCCTCTCTGTCCCTGTACAGCGTGTAGGCTAGTTCTTTCCACAGGCTTGTTACGAACTGGGAACAAATCTGACAAAGTCCACATTTGGAGTCTGGTTTGGTTCAGTCAGTTACAACAAACTTAAAAATCATAATTTACTTCCTGGTTATTAGCTATCAAAACAAATTTTATTACAATTTAGTTAAATATATCATTTATTTCAACTAAAACTCTCCTTTACTTGCTAAAATCCCTCTTTTAATTTACTTGGTTTCCACGGCAATGTTTCATCTCACTAATCCCAAAACCTTTTTATCAAAATTCACCACATGTGCAGACACTGAGAACTTTAAAGACTTAAACGCTGAAAAAAAGAAAAGAAATGTATATCTGTGCATTAAAGGTTTGACCTTTTAGGTCTCTGAACCGAAAACCCAGATGAGTCATGAGGAAAAGTTCACTAAATATTAGTTTCTCCCTTTTAAATCCAGCAACCGCGTTCTCAACATATTTTACCCATTCAGAGAATTCTTATCTATTTAAGATTTCCATTCTTATAAGATAGTAACAACAACAATGTAAGTGGTAGGATAAATTATTCAGGAGACAGAGTGGCTTTTTGAAGTTCTGTTCTTATTATAGGGTTTGGGGTTCAGTGAGAATTATTGATTACAGCATTAAGCAGCTTGTGAAGCTGCCACCAAACCCAGCCTATTGATTCACCTTCTGACATGACATTCTTCCTTTTTTTTTCATGTCCGTACGGATGTGAAAATAATTACACCCCATCTTATGGTTCCAAACTGGGGCAAAAGTTGATCAGATTTGAGTGGCTCATTCTTCTTGTTCATCAGGTGATGAGCTCTAAAATAAAGCAAATCGAGAGTGAAAACAAAAACCGGGATAGGCAAGAATGCTTTTCTGATGGTTAGATGGACCTTTCTTTAGCTGAAGTCTTGCAATATTCATGAAGACTAATTACAGTTTGTACATAGAGCATAATGAGCACCTTTTTGAACCAAATTCCCTTGTGGATAGACATTTAGTCTGTACCTAATTTGTGCAAATACATTTTTTGTGCACGTGCGAATGTGTTTGAAAAAGGAAAATGCCAAAGAAGCCTCTCTCCTAAAAGCCTTTGGGGTGAATAAAATCACGTTTGGTTGAAACATGGCTGCAGGGGCAGCTGCAGGTCTGACCCTGCCAAGGACAGAGAGCTTCCCAAGCCTGTTCAATGCTGTGAAACGGGTCATTGAACGGCTAAATGGCGTCATTATGATGAGTAATTAAAAGAATACAGCTYAAGACTCCCAAACTTCCTTTTTTCCCCCCTTTTGGTTCAGCTGTGTTTTGTTGTCATAGGTCTTTGCAGAAAGGCAGCTGCCTCGGGCCACTTTAACTATCACCCCTTTCACTGACATGCAAATAGAAGCCTCAGAAGCTAATTGAATCACATTATCTATTGTCCTCTCATTTACTGAAAATCTAGCCATTTTGCAGATTTCCAATACTGATTGTTGAAGATTGGATTTAGCCCGCCCTTTTCATCTGATACAACATGGCACACACTCTGAATCACAAGGGATGAGAGGACCAAATTGGGTTATTTAAAAGAGGGAGCAGTATAAATACTTTTTTGTGCTACAATCTCAAGCCTGCATTTTGCATATATTAATATGTATGTAGGTGGGAAAATTGCTGCCTTGCATTGTTGCATTCTGTAGAGACTGTAAACAAAACATAACAGCAAGGATGAAGCATGGACGGAGAATAAAGAAATCAAGTTTCATCTCTATTAAGCTTATTTTGTGAATACTAAACCTTTTTTCTCCATGTAAAGCCTTTCTTTGTTGTTGTTCCAGCTTTCAATAAAAAAAAAGCATAGATGACGTGCCAAAGTAGCTTTCCCCTGGGCAGTGTGTGCATTTTTTTCTTGCTTTATGGGGAGTCATTAGAATGACGGAGAGTTAGAAGCGGGGGGACTCATGTTTGATTAATTAGTAAAACTAACTTTGGCAAGACCAGAAACTGAAACTGAAGATTTCATTAGCTTGTGCTTGTTAGATAAGGTTAATGAGGTGGTTACCTTTTCTGAATAAAAATGAAAAAAAAAAATACATGCGTCTGAATTCATGTTCAACTCTGAAACGGCTACTCTCTGAATACCATGGAAGGAACAAATCCTTGTCATAGTCGTCACATAAAAGACCCAATCCCTTTGATAAGATGAAACAAATTTTATTGTAACATTTACGTGTGTTGTTTTTATCATATTTTCTCATGCAGAGCTCAACGGGAGAAATCACGGAGGATCTGGATTGCCGGAGGGCCACCAGAGATGGTTTCCCACACCCAGGGTTTCACCGTAGATTACAGCAGTAAGTGCAGGTGTTTGTTACAGCTGTGCACGCAGCTTGATTCAGCCGAGGATTTTGCATGAGCACATGCACCCCCCTCTAAGAGGATCACATCTCTAATCCACTGGTCAATACACACAACAAGAACAGCGCCAAAGACAAGTGACTCAAAGGACATATCCTGAAAGTGGACAACAGGAACATCCTTTTGTAGGTTTACGGTCTGCTCAAGTTCAAACTTTCACCTTTCTGCTTTAATTCAGACACATTTTAAGCAAGAAAAGAGTTTGTTATAAAATAAGCAAATTCAATTGCTTCAAATAAAAATACATCAAACTTATATTGTTTTTAGGACACTCAAAGATGCTTGTTGGTAGTAAGCTACAATGTAGCTACAGTTGGGTGATGACAAAAGCGCCGCCGAACCCTCAGACCGCCACCAGTAAGCAAGGCAGGCGAAGTGTCTTGCCCAAGGATCGGGGGGATCGAGTCAGCAGCCCACCAGTTACAGGATGTATCCACTCTGCAACAGCCTTCCCGATTAATAATCTGCTTTGACTAAAAACAATAAATAACTAAAAAATTAAAAGGAATTAAAGGTTTGCAGATATTTTTTTTTTTATTTTATAAATAAAATGCAATGTTTGGTCTAACCTAACCAATAGTTTCCTCCAATACATGTGTATCAATGCAAATAAAAGTATGATTTTTTTTACTTCGTTTCAACAAGTTTATAGTTACACATCGGCTGTTACTGATTAAGGTTCAGAGGAAAACAAACATTTGATTTGTTTTAAATCAAACAGAATCCCAATGTTTTCTTTTGATCAGTTCATCCGTCATATAGTTTAATCATTAAATCACAAACGCAACGGTGAAATTATCTTCTGTAGTGAAAATACTTGCTTTTGTAAGTCTTACTCCACAGGGAAAAAAAATAAAGTTGCCCTTTTGTCTTTTGTTTTTCATGCCAGTAACTGAGCAACAAGTAAGTAGWTTCATCTGCTGTTGTGGGTATGACAAAAGGAGCGTGTGCACACTTAACAATTAGTGCTTATTAAGTGGCTCTTGAAGAAAAGACGTGACCCTGTGAATCATCGCCGGCTCACTTTCGTGCAATAAATTTTCAGAAATGGCACAACCTCTCGACTCGGTTGACTCACAGGTTACTCAGTTGTCACATTATGTCGAGCAGAAGGGAGTGCCCCCTGGCTTCATTAGAACATTTAATCARTAAGAACAATCAGAGTTTCAACTTTTCTGCTGTTTACATTTTCATCTTTTTTTGTATAATAAATCTCTGACATGTAGGCCTGCCCCTTGTCYTGCTCACAAGTCAAAGTCAGGCAATACACATCATTTCAACACATTTCATTAAAACTTTTGGTCCGTTGAACAAAAGAGCATTTAACTAAACTCTCAAAAAATAATCTCTACCACTAATTGATATTTAGAATCAGCCCTGTTCTAATGGTTGCCACAGTTTTAACATTAGTGCAGCACAAAATTTGCTCTCACTCAATCAGTGTTACAGAGATAGCGTTGAAGTTTGTGTGGTAGTAGCTGAGAGCAGCCGGTTTGGATGTTATCAGTCCATTAAATGGACATTATTAGTGGTTATCAGTCCCATAYAATGGCTTCAGACTGTCCTGACAGTGCCCCCTAGTGGGTTACCAGTGCCATGTACATTGGAATGCAACAATCTGCTACCGCCGGAGTCCGGTCTACTTTATCGTAGCCCGTGTCATTTTCTCTAAAATTAACCTTAGTGGCTTTATGCCTCATATTAACCAGCTGACAGTCTGAAGCCATTCTATGGGACTGATAACGGCTAATAACGTCCATTTAATGGATGATAACATCCGAAGTGGGTGCTGAGAGTTATCCCTCTGATGCACTTTGAGGACAAATATCTCTGAGAGTTCACAAAATCAAATGAGATAGCACAAGATTTGACCAGAGTCAGATTTTATAACTGGCATGAAAGGCGACAGGCTATGTGCGTTCTTTCATTCTTTCAATTTTTCTTTCTCTTTTTTATATTTTTAATGTGGGAGTTCACTGGATTTTTTTAATCAAAATCCGTGGTTAAAAACATTAAACCTTCCTTTGTATACTGTACATACTTGTCAGCAATATAAGAAATGACAAGTTTGTTCTTCAAACATCTAATCCTCATCTAATCCCCATTAGACTCGTTATGCATATTAGATCAATTTAATGACTTTGATGTTATCTTTACTGCCCTTCAAGAAAAGCTTTTTTCCTCTTTTCTTCCAAGTTTAATCAAATGATTTTTAAACCCTGAAAAGATGGGAATTTATTTAGAATGGGCTACGAATATGCTCTTTCTTGCAGATTTAGTTTACAAATCAAAGTAAAAATTGACCATCCTCAAGTTGTTGATCACTAAAGCAATGATTCTCCCTTCTAACTTACAACAACCTTAGTCTTATCAAGCTATAAAGTCCCAACTCCTCCATCAACGTGGATTCGTAATCGATGACTCTGGAGAAGAGTTATTTGAATGGATTACCGTAAAGAGCATCATGGATTAGCCTGTGAGAGACATGGATCCCGGGGGAGTTTTAAATTGGTCACATAAAATGATTATAAAACATCTGTATGGTTGGCAATTATTGGGCTCCCTGCTCATCAAGGTGATGTAAGCCTGCCTTATCATTTGCTCAGTTCATCGATACCTCTTTGGCTCGTTAAAGCAGATGTTGGCTGCGGTGCATGTCGGTGCTTGAAGGATCAAAATGAAATAAATTTGGTTTATGCAGTCGTCAAGTTTTGGCTTTGTTATTTGGACCGCTGAGGCAATAATAGTAAACTTATTATGCAAAATACCACATTCTTAAAAGAAAAAATGGTTATTTTTTTACTTCATGATTACCGATTAATACAATGACAACAATCAGTGTTCAAAATGTTAATAAATGAAGGTGAGAAGACCACCTCGTAGTTGTTGCACGTCTGCATCCACGCATTTTCCAGAACTAAACTAATCCACTTGCCTTGCCCCAGTTGTCATCAGCTCTTATGTGTTTAATTTTTAGTGATCACTTAGCTCACTTGCTGCTACTTCACTTTATTAATCTGCTGGTAGAACCCACATCTATCAGGAATGCAGCCAGAATTTTCTGATTAGCCTGATTTAAAGCTCAAGAGGAGAAGCTGAACCCTAAAAATAAATTTTTAAAAGAATAGGGTTGAGAATATCTTCATTTTATTATTTTTTATTTCCTGATTTTAACAATTCAAATATGAGATAAACTGTAAAACGGCCTATTTTTTTTCCATTTCTTTAAGATCGCAAATTCCCAGGTTCAGATTTTTGTCTACAACAGATACAAAAATCTACACCGTCCTATTTCAAATCATTTTTAGGCTCATCCCATTGAATTCAATATGCCCCAAAAAACAAACAAACCACAAAACCTTATTGGCAGCAGAAATGATGCAAAAGGAGACAGTTCATGTAGATGGGAACTAGATCTGTAGAGACTAAGCCAATTAGGATCAGGCACAACAAAACTGATTGCATCATTGGAAAATCAATACATCAAGCCTTGTTAACTGAGTCAGAGAAGAGCCACTCCATCACAGACAAATATCTGCTGACTACTCAAAAAATCAAACAAATAAAAAAATCTAGAACTAGCAAATGTTCTTTTAAACATAGGGAAATAAATTATTAAACAGAAGAATATTGAACCAGTTTATAAAAGATGAAAACAGTAATAAAACAAGTCAAGATTTCCAATTGGGCACTGGAACTTTAAAACCATTTAAAACCAGACTCACTAACAGGTTAAAGCACCTGCAGATATATATAGGTGGTGGAGAATGACCGAGCTAAGATCCTGTGGGACTTCCAGATCCAGACAGACAAGATGGTAATGGCGAACCAACCGGACATTGTGGTGGTGGATAAAGAACAGAGGAAAGCCGTTGTGCTGGATGTTGCAATACCAAGTGACCACAACATCAGGAAAAAGGAGCATGAGAAACTGGAGAAATACCAGGGCCTCAGAGAGGAAGTGGAAAAGACCTGGAAGGTGAAGACCACAGTGGTGCCTGTGGTCATCGGGGCCCTCGGGGCAGTCACCCCCAAACTGGAGCAGTGGCTAAAACAGATCCCAGGAACAACATCAGACATCTCAGTCCAGAAATGTGCAGTTCTAGGCACAGCTAAGATACTGCGCAGAACCCTCAAGCTCCCAGGCCTCTGGTAGAGGACCCGAGCTCAGAGGATGAAAGAGACCACCCGCGGAGGGTGAGAAGGGAATTTTATATATATATATATATATATATATATATATATATATATATATATATATATATATATATATTACATAAAACACAAAATCAGGTGCCAGTCTGTTCTCCACATTTATTTCCCCACCATTACTAAGGAATAATGGCATTCAATGTAAATAATCCTGTAATTCTGGAAAGAAGAAGGCAATTATGGAGCAAAAGCATAAGAAAAAAAAAGGCTTTGCCGTTTTGACAGACAGCTGTCAGCCATTTATTACAGATTTCCTAATGAGTTTTTTCCACAGAGCTGATAATACAAGGTGGAAGACGGGACACTTCTCTCGTATCACAGCACCTCAATTCCTCCATGTTATTAAATGCCATTCATTCAGTGAAGCAGCAAAAGACAAAACCTCTTTTCTCAGCTGGGATGTAGTTAGTAAGAACTGAGTCAAAGCAAAACAAGAGAACTTTTTTATTCCCTTCTTTGTTTAAAAATAGACTGCAGTTACACACTCTGGTCATCCAGACATACATTTATCAAATTTTCTTTTGTTTTAAACTTCCCTCAAACTCTTCCTGAGATGCTGTGTTCATGTTGTCTTCATGTGACGGGAGGCTGATGGACAACGTGAAAACAACGCCTCAATCAGCTGCCGCCGTTGCAGACAAAAGAAGATAACTGAGGCTTTGGTTTATCGCCTACAGAGTAGGATTTAAAACAAAAGGTCGCTCACCTTTCAAATAGGATTCCTGACCATCTGCTTTTGTTTTGTCTTTGTAAAAGAAATCTGCCCGTCATAATCCTCATCTTTGTTTCTTGTTTCCGTTTAAGTGGCCAATTGTCACTGACATTTAAACAACAACCCATCGATAGATTGCATGAAAATTTTTAACCCTACAGACTTAAATACAGTGGGAAAAGTCTTCACAGGCATTAACAAGTAATTATCTGTCCCTATCATCTGCTTGAAAGTAAATGTTAAATGACTCATCGCCTATGATAAACTGAAATGGAAACTGTCATGTTTATTGGCTTCCTTCTTAATTTTCTTGGGAAGTTTTCTTTGGTCTGAAAGACAGCAAGACAGCAGGAGATGAGGCAGCGAGCAGCTCAAATGAGAAAACCATCACTGCATTATTAGATAAACTCATTTCATTACCTCTTAGTCTTTTACTCTGTTCTCCTTGTTGCCAACAATCTCCAATAACTGCAAAAAAAAGATAGATATTATCTGTAATTTCAATCGCTGCTTGCTGTGTTTGTTTATTCCCATTTAACAGGAAGTGACCTCAGTATTTCAGAATTGATGTGTTTTTCATCACGATTGTGTCCCTTTACTTCCTTTGGAAAATGGCYCTAAAGCTGATAAAAGCATCTCAAAAGGAATAAAGATCAGTATCAGCCACTGACTGACTGATTCAACTGAGGGGTAATTTTTCAGGATTGTGGCTGCGCAGCAAATCACTTCTCCAACGAGCTTTGAAAATCAGTTGTAGGAGTTATTAATCTCTTATTTGTAAAAGGTCTGCTTGTGATTTGTCACTTGTCACAGTTGCAAGGTCAAGCTTTTATATATACATATATACTGTATATATA